TATTATTGTTATTAATATTATATTAAAAGTTCAAATTTTTTGTATTAATTATTACTAGTTTACAATAAAAAAATTATAAACTGTCAGTGAAATAATCGTGTCGGTGAAATGATCGTGTCGGTAAAACGATCGTTGGTTAAATAGTTGTCGGTAAAATGATCTTGTTGGTAAATCATTTGTCGGTGAAATGATTGTCGATGAAATGATCGTCAGTAAAATAAATGCGTCCCGTTTTGATGATGGATTCTATGTTCAAATTCTTGAATATTATTCTTTCAATAACCATCTAATTTTGATTCTAAGATCATTAATTCTGACTAAACCTTTTTACTTGGCAATTAGTAACTTATCTATGATTTTAAACTGCTTGTTCGTGGAAGCAGGGATGGGTTTGATTCAAAAATCCAATGATGAAAAATGACCTACAATTACTATTGTCATCATTAAAAATACGAAAGAGATTATTCTTGGACTTCAAATGATGATGGATTAGAATACTCTGCAACTTAATCAAATTTTATTTTTTTTTTTAATAAAGAAAAATACATCTGTAGTAAAGTTGTTAATGAGAGATATGCAATACATAATTATGGCCTAGAATTTGGGAATTTTAAAGCTGATTTGTCATTATTTATCGAAGATATTGAAGGGCATTATTACAAGAAAAGAGAATTAGAAAAGAAGGTAAATTCGAAATTACCGGTTATGAAGTGTTCCAAGTAATAAAAAAAATGACTTAGATTTTCGTAATAACTTGACAACCTATAAGTAAATTCATTAATATACTTTTTTTTTTGTAGGCGAGATCAGTAAAGCATATTGATCTTATCATTCATTCTATTTTAAGAGATTATAACTTATCTCATGATTTTGCTATCTACTTTATTATTAGGAGGTGGAATTAATAACATTATAAAATAAGATTTTTAGGAAATATAAATCACTTATTATGGTATTTTTGTTTTGAAAAAAAAATTTTATATTTAGTACGCTTACGATCGCAGTATTAATAAAAAATGCTATAAATATCATTGAGATTATAACAATAAGTTTTATAGCAGTACTATCAGAAATTTTCGTATCATATAAATATAAATGCTGGTATTAGAATAACACGATTAACGATTATTAAATAAAAAAATTAACTTCACACTAGATTCCTTTTCCTCATTTTTGGTTGGTTTACACAGTTTAATTAGTGAAACGTGCTGATCATTTTAATCTGACTCGTCTTCAAAATTTTTTTGAATAAACTTGAAAAAACATTTTGATGTAATTATTTTTCGGTACTGAAAACCATATATTATCCCTGATTTACAGAATTACTTAGAAGGTCAAGCAAGATTAGAATGTAGCATATGTAGAATTGTAATATCAAAAGGATTTCAAAACTCCAATTAAAATTACTTTTTATAGACGCGATTTTTTTAATTTGTTTAAGATTTTCAAATATCTCTATATTTATATACTTGTATTTCCATTCCTTTGAATTTCTTTCCCGTGAAATAATTGTTAAACAAATTCTTTAAAATAAAAAGAAAATCGTTAAAAATGACAAGAGGATATTCATCGGAACAAGATTTGAGATTATTAATCAATAACCCAAAATATAGTGATGTAGAAATTTTATGCAAGGATGAAAAAAAATTACATGGTTGTAGAGCGATTTTAGCTGCAAGATCCAAAGTTTTTGATAGATTACTTTTTAATAGAGTAGGAGAAAGTTATGATAAACAAATATCTATTTCAAAGATTAATTCTTTAGGAATGGAAGTTATAATGGAATATCTTTACACAGGAGTTGTTAAAGAGAAAACTTTAACCAAAAAAAATATTGTTGAAACTTTTATTGCTGCAGACTACTTTCAGTTGCCGGAACTTCAAGACTTTATTGTAAAGACTGTTAAAGGTACCTTAGAAAAGAATAGTAATGATAATTATTCTCCTGAATTATTATCTAAAATTCTTGAAACTATGCCATTTACTGAAGATAATATTCTTTCGAATCTGCTGGTTGATGCAGTATCAGTTATTCCGTTAAATGCCATTGAATTTGGTCGCTTATCTAGTACAGCACTTCGGGTTCTTTGATCTTACACATTTGAAAAGAATAATCACTTTGTAACCCTAGAATATGAGGTTTTTCGATATAGTGCTATTCTAATTGCAAGAGATATTTCTAACGATGCAACCAAATCCCTTTTGAACCGGTTACCTACTCTAGATCACATGGATAATTTTAAGCAAATTGATAATGAGCTTATCCCGGATCATACCTTTGGTAAAATTTATTGATTTCAGACGAATTAAAAGCAAAATATTAGTTAATATTATTGAACCATTAAACATTATCCCAGTTGAAACGATTTTAAATGTTGTTAGATTAAACGGTTCGTCGTTAAGTTAACTAAGATTATTTGCTAACAGGAAGTTTAAGTTCGTCTAAACTATGGAAGAAAT